GCGTGGTCACCGGGAACTCTTCGTGCTCGGCCGCCGGTGGCGCTGGCGGAGGCGTGCTGCTGGCCGCGACGGGCACCGCGTTCGTGGGCGCGGGCGTGCTCTTCGCCCCCGCCGTGGCACGCGCGGCCTGCGCCTGCGGGGCGCACGATTGGAGGAAATTAACTCCCATATTCAACACTTAAGGAGTACATAGTTATAAGGATATTTCGATAAACTGATGTTTTGTTTTCGAAACAACTTAAGTCCCCTGCACACGAGCGTTGCGTTGATGCGCGTTAAGTAACGCGCGTCGAAGAAGAACACTGCATCCTATGTGAAACAGTACACGAGCTTGGCCCGTTCGGCGTAAGATACGGTGTTAATCTACGACACGCGTTTCTTATCACTTGTCAAACACGCGTTAACTCGTGTGACACAGGCCTTCAACGCTGCGTCTGCGACTAGAAACAGCAGTCACGTTTGTTTCACAATCAGTTTGTATTTCACGTTTGTGCGTCCAAAATTTTAATATGGTCATAAAAATATTTACATTTATTGTATGCCAATCATTGACAAGTTAAATAAATACTAAATCACAATTTAGAATAATAATAAATATTGCGATCTCTAGACAAGAACATCAGAACCCGAAAATGTCCATGAGTGATATATGAATATACAAACATTTACTCATTTTTATAAAAATATGCATTTTTATCTTAAGAGAAGAGGCTAATTATTGTTGTAGCTAATTTTTCAAGAACAAATAATCAAAGATTTGATGATAGATCATTAAAAAGTTTTGTAAGTCTTACCCAAGACATTATTTTTTTTAAAGTTTTATATTTAAAAAGCTGTAAATTCATATAAAAATGTAAAGAAACCAATTTTTGGTGACGTTATACTGAAAATAAAGCACTGTAATATAAAAACGAAGTACGATGGGTGAGGGTGAAATGTTGAACTTATAGTGAAAAGTTAGTTTTCAGTGTTGTGCACAAAAGTAGGGAGATTTAAGAAACCAGTAGCTTTAAAGACTTCCACAGTTGGAAGATGCACGCACTCTGATAACCCAGACCTTAGACTTTCATTCGTGTAGAATGGTGTGCTTTCGCCGTTTTCTAAGAGCCATTGAATCGTTAATCACATTTTCTTCTACATTCCTTTCCCATTGCTTGAAGAAATTTAAATTGAAATTATTATAAACTACTCTTGAAATTTAACATAGTAGGAAAGGCCAAATTAGAAGTTATAATCAAGTCACAAAATTCGATTTGTATGCAACCTATATTATTCAAACTAATATGTGGTGAAGGAGAACTGTGGACTTCAGATCTCAGAAGCAATTACCTCATGAAAGTCGTTATGTGATGTCCGAGTTCTGGAATCTTGGCCATTCGCCCACCTCCACATGAACAGTACTGTTAAACATTTCGAACTCATCTGTACATGGGCGCCCAACGCTACCGACTACTTTTTTGTTTCTTTATTCTCCGTCTGAGACCGACAAAAAATAATGAGTCATTTTACCCCTTCCTTGCGTTATTCTTTGACTGGGCGAATAGAGGATCTAATCTCCCAAGAAGTCGGAGAGTTTAATTTGGCCAGGCACTTGGCCTGGGTTCTTTTAAATTTCACAAAAGTGACACAGCACACGCAATGCATATTTTTATAAAAATGAGTAAATGTTTGTATATTCATATATCACTCATTTCACAAAAGTGCACCTGAGGGGTTCCGCCCTTCGAAAATCTACAGTCTCCCGCGAAGTCGAGTTTTAGAATGCCAGTATGTTAATACCCCTGGGATCGGCTTCTAATGAAATGTCTCAAAAGTGATACTTCAAAGTATGACTTTGAATATAATATAAACTGTCTCGATTCGGAGAAAAATAAAGCTCTGTTTAAGAATGTTTAAGATTTTCTGCTGTCTCCTCTGCAATGGCGTCGAGAAGAGAAAGATGACACCTAGCCTTAGGCTCCTAACTAATAAGAACCCAGAATTATTTATCCATAAAACTGCTCAACAAGGTTTTTGTGCCATTGCTCCAAACTCGAGATTTTATCAATACTTTTTTCTAAAAATTTTAATATATCCGTTTGTTCTCGTTGATTTTACACTGTAGATATGTGTGTGCATGTGGGTATGTGTCTGCATGTGGGCATGTATGTGTGCATTTGGGCATGTGTGTGTGCATGTAGGCATGTAGGCATGTGTGTGCATGTGGGCATGTGTGTACATGTGGGCATGTATGTGTACATGTGGGCATGTATGTGTACATGCGGGCATGTATGTGTACATGCGGGCATGTATGTGTACATGCGGGCATGTATGTGTACATGTGGGCATGTGAGTGTGCATGTGGGCATGTGTGTATGTGCGTGAGTGTGTGTGTGCATGTAGGTATGTGTGTTCATGTAGGTATTGTGTGCATGTGGGTATTATGTGCATGTAGGTATTGTGTGCATGTATGTACATGTGTGCATGTGTGTAATTGTGGGCATGTGTGCGCATGTGGGTATGTGTGTGTGCGCATGTGGGCATGTGTGCGCAAGTGAGCATGTGTGCGCAAGTGGGCTTGTGTGCGCAAGTTGGCGTGTGTGCGCAAGTGGGCGTGTGTGCGCAAGTGGGCGTGTGCGCGCAAGTGGGCTTGTGTGCGCAAGTGGGCATGTGTGCGCTAGTGGGCATGTGTGCGCAAGTGGGCATGTGTGTGCAAGTGGGCATTTGTGCGCATGTGGGCATATGTGTGTGCATTTGGGCGTGTGTGTGCTTGTGGGCATGTGTATGTATGTGTGTGTACGTGTGCGCATGTGTGTGAGTGTGTGGAAGATGATGCATGAATGGCGCTTCCCGCCGGCGCCTACCTCCGCCTTGGCCTTCCTCTTCTCCTGGCTCTCGCGTTCCTCCTCGCGCCGCTCCTCCGGCCTCCGCCTCCTCCTCCGCGTCCGGCCGCCGCCCCGGCCCCGCCCGCCCCGCGTGCGTGCGCACCACCCGTGGCGCATCGGCGGCGGCGGGGCGCGTGTGCGGGCCGGCGTGCGTCTTGAGCGTTGCCGGCGCGTCGGGGCGTGTCCGCCGGCTTGGCGCCGAGCGGCGACGCGGCCCGCGGCGGGCCCGACGCGCGTCGGTGCGGTCGCAGCAGCACATGTACGCCGTCCACACGCGGTCCACCAGCTCCAGCTGCCACACCGTGTTGCTGCGCCGGTTGCGCGGGTCGTAGTACGCCAGGGAGCGCTTCTGCGGGTCCTGCGCAAGCGGGCCAATTACTCTAATTGCGTTTTATTGGCATTGAAATAAGGATGATGAAAATTGTACAGATTTTTTTAACCGCTTCATTTTTTATCTGTTCAATCTACTGATTTTACAGATTAGCATGAATGAATGATAGCACTAGGTTAGGGCGTAGGCAGCTGCTGGCTTCATTTAGTCTCACTCTCATACATTTCTCTTAATCTAGTGTTTGCATTTTTTATAAATAAGAATTATTAATTAAGATAAAACCCAAAATGATATACTAATTTGAAAAATTAAAATAAAATTAATATTTACTGGAGAGACGTACTTATCTTTTTTTATCTTTTTTTAAAATCTGAACTAATTCTCCGTAACATTTTTGTCTTATTGTTTCGTCACGCTGCTGTTAGACAATGCCTTTTTTCGCTTCGGTCAGGGACTCGGCGCCGTTATTAAGCGCGTTTGCCAGGCGGTCGCCCGTCCACACATCCGTGGTGACTCGAGTTGCTTAGCTTCCGTGATATAACGGAGCGTAGCTAACCAATTCCGTTAAACGACGCCGACTCACCAAAACCTTAATGTAGGTATCAGAGTCGCCCATACATAGTCAATTGCGAAAATTACGGATAACTAGTCCAGCCGATATCATCCAGATCAATTATGCAATATCAGTTCCAGTTAAAGATCTTTCGATGGTTTTACTGCTAGCATTGAAAATGGACGGACAGACGTTTTCCTACAAACCAATCTTTCGGTATCAAGGGTCCAAACATCAATTTCGACTAAAGAATTTGTTAAATGACATAATTTGACATGCATACGGCAACAATAATTATTCACTTTTTCGTTATTAGGGATTTTTTTTCTGTTGTTTTTTCCGTTTCGCAGTCTTTCAGTGCAGCGTTTCATAGTTATATTGTACTATTAATATATAAATTCTAATTTAATTAATTAGTATTAATTCCAATAATTAGTATTTCAAGTCTTGAATAATGTGTATAAAACATACATTTTCCACGAGAACCGCACGTAACTCGAGGAAGAGGTTCTCTGAAAAATATTTATACAGCATTGATGTAGATACGTAGTCAATTGCGAACATTATGAGTATAAAATCCTGTTGCATGTCAAAAATGTCACTGTAGCATTAGACTTATTTGCTTTTAGATTTCTTAGATACGCTCGGTAAATGATTATCTCAAAAGTAAGTGGTTAACTAAGTACGTTTGTGGCCTCTGATTTAGCTCCAAGTCATCACGTCCCCATCTCTGATAGAAAGGAAAAACCCTTTTGAAGGAAATTCGTAAAGTAGATAAATGAGAAACCGAATGGAAGCGAATCAGAAAAGGTGAAACTAACGTGGAAAAAACAATAATCCATAAATGTTGCTTTTTGTCTACATTATCATGTGAAGGGAATTCTGCCCTTTAACCCCTAAGGACCATCAGCCTGAAGGGATGAACAATGAACCCGTTAAAATTACGAGGTAATTATTAATTCTGTTTGAACTAAACTGGATTGCCTCTGGGAAACTCAAACACGGTTATTAACCAGGAAATAAAATTTGAAACACATTGTGATGATACGCATGTAGTACGCAGTTAAATTGAAAGCGTTGATGTTCGTTTTGAACGGAAAGAATATTTACATCAATTTTAGTAGCTTTTTAGGAGATGCAAATGTATATTTTTCATGCTGCAGATTTCAATTTATTTCCGTACAGTAAGGGGACACAGAATTCCGTGTCCTGGCAATGTTAATTGTTAGGTACTTATTCTGAAAATCAATAAAGTTAGGGTTATAAAATGTTACAGGTTACAGAAGTATCACTCATAATAACACTGAAGCAACGGGTTTTCAAAAAGTATATTTTTTTGTAGATAAAAATATTTTCTCATAATGCAATTTTTCCCGCGTTTTCTAGTAAATAAAGTTTTGAAGAATAAATAATACTCATACTACTAATCAGAAAAACAGTGTTTCAGTAAATATAGGAGACCTTTATTAACAACTCCTGAAAGTTTTCAATTTCTACTACACATGTAAGCTGTGAAATGTACAATTTAGTATCACAAATATCAACTTTCGGAAATGGGCGTTAAAGATGTAACCCTCCGAATACGCCAGCTCGATAACTTGCGTCACCAGAATAAACATTTTGCAATAAGTACTTCCTTTTGTGACTTTTTTATATTGTTTAACTTCAGAACATAAAGTTTTTAATTTACTTCCTGCTTGTCTATGTCTTTTAGTATTCATGCACTGCATTGTGTCTCAGTATCTAAAAGTATTGGAGAGGTCACCTAAGCCCAATGAGAGATCTTCATATAAATAATAATAATAATAATAATAATAATAATAATAATAATAATAATAATAATAATAATACAATATAAAAATAAATGTAAGAGTGATATCAACATAATTGAAACGCCACTATAAAGAGAAAATGATAAAGATTTATAAAAAATAAAATACCAGAACACAATTTTTTATTAAAAATCAACTCCGTGTCACCTTAACAATGTATGAACAAATTATATACGTAGATATATATTTATATATCGTATATAATTATGAATTACTTATATATGAAGATAACTCACGGAAGATAATATTGCAGAATATGAAAATAAATTTTCTTTTCACTGATCAACTAACCCATCTGAGTATGTCACAACACTAGTACCAAAATAATAAATCATTATTAATTCCTGATATATTTTATCTTATAGGATTCAAATATATTATTTTTATTGACATTTTTAATTCGAAATTAAACGCGCGTAATTAAACAAAAGTGTGTACCAACTCCTTGCTTCGGCAAAATGCTGCCCAACAAACCGACACAAGACGGTATTCAAAAACGTAGCATGCAAACTCCACAATAACAATAAAACATATTGTGTTATAACGCAGTAAAAAATTAAATATTGGAATAAACATTGTCTTCAGAAATGCTCCAATAACATAAAATAAACTTAATAAAGCCACTAGGAGATATCAATAAATACTTTCCCTTTCTCACAACTGAGTAAAGAGAAAGTTACGTAGTGCTGCGAAGAAAAAAGGCGAATTTTCGGCAGAAAAACTCTTATTACGGGCCCCTGGTAACCGAAATTCATGTTTTGTGGGTCCTTGATACCTAAAAACCTATTGACGGTACTGTCCATCCATCTGTGAACAACGCTAGTGGATAAATCGTTCAGTCGATTTTCTCTAAAATTGGTATTTCCCAATCGATATGACTAATGTCGCAGCCCCTTGAATTCAAAACTGATATTTTAATTTGGAAAGTTACTTTACATGAAGCCTATGGAACATTTTCCGAATTTCCAGAAAAATGGCTCCATCGTTTTTTATTAAATTGTGTTGATTTGATAGTGTAAAGGACGTTTAAGCGAATAGGGAAGGTCTCGTGTTCTTTCAAATTGATGATTTTTCGAGAATTTTATAACTTAAACAGTTTTTCGGTGTCTTTCTACAACTAAAATATTAAAGATTGAGATTTTCCCCAGAACGAAATCTGTTCCTTAAAGACGGGTCATGTGCAATTTTTCGAAATTTTGAGTACTTTTCGCCTAATTGTGCATGGAATTGTGGGCGAGAAAGTACGTGTTTAGTCCCACTAGTTATTATTATGTTATGTAAGGTGTGATAATTTTCTGGTGAATTTTATTTCCCTTATTTCCTCCACTGTTGGTGCTACGTTCCCGAAGCTCAATGGACGTTAAGTCAGATTTAAAAGGCTTAATCTCATATTGCAAAGCAGTGTCCGTTAATCTTCTCAGGGCTGTAAGTCTTAATTAAGAGCAATTATATTGTATGCTGCTACAGTCCCAAGAATAATTAAAAGAGTTTGTGAAAATAAATCCCTGGCCTAGACATCGGTTCTAGGAAACGGAAGTGACGTCAAGAGCAAACTCCGACCGTCGAACTCTCGGAAATCTCCCTGTAATTTACCCACAGGCTGAGTGGATTTAGAAGACGAGTAATTATTTGCGAGAGAACAGTTTAGCTCAGGCGATATTTCTTCAGTAAGTAAAGAAGTAGTTTCATAGTTGAAACAAGCAGTGCCACTCCTAGAATACGCGGGATAAATCATGGATAAAGCCCAGATTCTTCTGTTACTGCATCTTTTCTTTGATAACCTGAAATAAGATGAAATCTTGACAGAAATTTGAATTATGAAACAGGCGTTATTTTAGTACTTGTTTTTTTTTTCACGAAATTGCAGTTTGGGGCATAGCTGCACCATTCCATTAAGTATATTTTTAAATTATCAACTCGTTTTAATTTCTCATTTTTAAAAGTTCAATGTGAGAAAAACATTTTTATGACATAACCCAGCATTGCATTTGAGTGATCTGTAAAATCCGAGTGCCGTGTAATATGTACCAATTCTACATTTTGTTTCCCTATGAACTGAGCAACTGTACCTTTCATCATGCCTATTGTGTAAATAAAAATGTCCGAGTTATTGCAGCAGGGATAGTAGGTCCGCGATGCACGGATGCAGGCTGTCAGCAAACTCCATGTTCGGTGTCTGTCTTCCCAATTAGATGATATCCGCTTGGTCAGACTTCGCTGAACTTACCAGCACGAGACAGCATGCGCGAGTGACATTTGACCTTACGTCCGGGCGCGAAGCTTAGCGATACTGCGATTCAAATTCATCGAATTTCTCGGAACAGACGTTTCTCTGCGAGGTACAAGAGAGAATGAACCAAATGTTTGTCCACTTTTAGCAGAGTACACATGTTCGTCAGAGTGAGCCTCGGTGTATAGGCAAGTATATGTGTATAACGAAGTTTTTCCTGTCTCAAACATATTAGTTGACTGACAGAAATAATTTGGTATTATACTTAACTGTAAATAACGAAAACAGTTAAAACATTTCTTCTGTAACTTAATTGTTTTTTATTTCTGAAAGTATATTAGTTGTTTTCTATTTTTGTGTGAGAATAATATTTAATTTTATGTGAGAATAATATTAAAAATGTCAAATATAG